ATGGGCTATTTTTCTATTTTCTTTAATAATGGTCTTAGCAGGCTTTAATTATATTCGTTCGATTCCGTAGGCAACAAGGAACATTTTGTATATCTCAGAATTTCGGAAAAATCCCTAGTTTTCGAGAAAATCGAAATTTTCTATTTTTGTAGTTCCAACTTTCACCGCTAGATGGACGGCAATTTTTTAGTCCATGAAATGGGCTATTTTTCTATTTTCTTTAATAATGGTCCTAGCAGGCTTTAATTATATTCGTTCGATTCCGCAGGCAACAAGGAACAATTCGTATATCTCAGAATTTCGGAAAAGTCCCTAGTTTTCGAGAAAATCGAAATTTTCTATTTTTGTAGTTCCAACTTGCCGCGCCACCTGTACCGTTTTGGACCGAATTCGACAAAAATTGATTTCCTGGCTTTATTATGCATCAAAACGTATCAAACCTTAATAGAAATTTGTTTCTAAATATCTCAGGAACCATACTACGTCGTCAAAGTGCCGAAATATTCATTTTTTTATTTTCCTTATATGTGTGTTCGGACCCTCACTTTTTCATATTTTTTAGGTTTAATTCCTCCGTGGCAAGTCCGATTAAAAATTTTTTTTTCTATGTCCATCTGGATGTACATACGCATCTGTATGCAAAATTTGATGAGAATTGGTTGAGTGGTGCAAAAGAAAAACGCGGACAATGAAGTTGCAAAGTCAAGTTGCAAAATAAATAGCTATTGTCTCTTATATCCCTTTTCCACATTAAATCGTCACTGCACTTTCATTATGAGATTTCATTATTCAATTTGATTGTAAACTTCAGTTCTATTGTGAACTTCAATTCTAAAGTACGTAAACTATATTTTGACCTAGTTCCAAGAAACATTTCCCCAAAACTGCGCAATAAATTGTTCACATAAATAGACACGTAGTTGCGAAAAACATTATTATTTATTAATTTCGAAACTGTTGACGGGGCTCAGCGCGTGCCAAAGTTTAGGAGTTATAACAGGTGTTGTTCCTCATCCGGCCCCCATTTTCCCCAGGGAAACTAGATTTGCAATCGTAAACTCGTATCCATTAATCTTGATAGCTGTGTATTTATTGGGGCAATTTATTCCAATATTTTCTTTTAGTAAACTGTAGCAATAATACAGTAGAGATTATGGCATTGCAGATTTAAATCTGATTGATGAAATCTGATAATTTTTATATGGATTTATGCTACAGTCTATTAATTACAACTAAATCATAACTATTAATAAGGTTAATTATATTTTCATCGACATCTGCTGTATGACACGAATGCGGATTCATAGACCGTTTCATAAACATTATTTTCCAAGAAGAATTTTTCTGGTGGCACCGAAATTCTGACCAGCTTGAGTAGCACCTTTATTCGTACCAGCTTGAAGACCAATAAGACCTTCACCAGCTCTTAATTGCTCCTCCGTAAAGTGTCGTTTGTTCTCTTCTGCTGGTTTTGGTCCTAACCAAGGGCCACGCCATTCTGGGTGTCTGTATGTCTAAAAATCGATATTGTTTCGTCAATTTTATAAAGATTGCATGAAATATTAAATACATGTATAACTAAAAAATATGTTCTCAATAAAGATTATTACAGTGCGACCGATAGCGAAGATGGTGTTGGTCACTTGCGCAATATTTTTCCTTTCTATAAGATCAACTGCTTGGAACAGGTCTACGTCAGGAACTCCATATTTCACACAAGCCTTCTGGAACCTGAAATACATAGTACATAACGTTAGGCACTGCACAGAATTAACGCGTGCAGTGTATCTTTTTAACAGGAGAACAGAAAACGAAAGTAACACGATTATAGGTAATTGTCCTAATCACCTAATAATCATTGAAATCTCTTTAATCCCATAACAAGTATTTACTTGTATGCAATTCGCAAATTAATAACTCATTAAATAACAATAACATAATTCTACTAATAAATAGCTTCTAAACGATTGTGCTAACAAATAAGATGAATGTGCATTATTTTTAAATTACCCCGCATATGATAAATATTTCGATGAAATGTATTTTACATTTATAAATTCATTCAACAATTTATATTGTCGTGAAAATCCAACGTATTTGATTGTTTTAATAGATATTACAAATCTACTATAACAATATTTATAATGCGGAATAGAAGAGGAATACTTTTAATTTTGAAAAGTATCGTAAAATTAAAAACATGAGCTTTAAATACAAGTGTCGCTCGTCTACGAAGTCGCCATTTTGTCGATACCGAGACGACATAATGCAAGAAACGTGAGGCAGGCCAGTGTTAACGGTCTCTCTTGTTATTAAGAACGCAGGAAAGAACAGAAGTTTGTGACAGGGATGTATAACTTCTATATCATTTCTGCACTCCGCATAAAAAGGGAGTAACGCGGAGTGGCCGCGCTGCGCATCGTTTGCCCCACTACTTAGGAAAGCGCTCTCAAACATTGAAAACGCGCCAATTGCTGTCATGCGCACGCAATGAAACGATCAGATGCAAGAAAACGTCATGGTCGCTGCACCTTGTCCAAAGAAATTATTAAGATATTTTCCGTACACTTTGCTGGTTTAATTACATTTGTATCTAACACGCTGTAACTTTTAGCTTTATTGTATAACGACTAATCAAACGAGTTAGGAGTGAAATTCGTGCTCTCATTATAGAAAGAAATTTAGGGACTTTAGAAAATTTGGAAACGTGTAATTTCGAGGATTTAAAAATTTAAGGATCTAAAAGTTATAGAATCTGAAAACTTATAAATTTTGGTTAAATATACTCTATTAAATGAAAATGATGTCACGCCCGTTTGAACACGAACTCAAAAAGATATTAACGGAAAATAACAATATACTTACAATATACTAAATAATATATTCACGCCACGACATTCGAACCGTTTATTAGTCTCGAAAAGATAGCGCACTCGTGTTTCGCGGTAATAGTATGAAGACTCTCGAAGCGACACTTCGAGATCAATAATCGAATATCGCTTGATCTCTCGATTTCAACGAGTTACTGTAAGCAATGCTCTTTCGACATCGATAGGTTGCAGTCGAGAATCGCTCGAAAGCAAAACACTGTCGATTGCGTAAAGTCGAATGAGCAGCAGGGAAACATGAAATTAAAGAAGAAAGCTTTACTTTATAAATCAAAGGGATTTCAATGGATTTTGCAAATGTAACAGATATTTAATAAATCACTACATTAGGATATAACTATAAATGAAAATACTTATTACGCATGATACATACTGATTGAGATTGTCCATCATCTTATAATCACCACCAGAAGTATTGATTTTTGTAACAAGACCTGGCTGTAGTTTGTTCATTAGTTTACAAAGTAGTACACCATCCCTTAAAGCATCTTCGTAACTCACGCCTGAAATACATACACATATATTATTTAGTCAGTTCAATTGATTGGTTGAATTTAACGAAGAGGCTACTGTAAAATCCGTAGAAAAAGGATAAGCGAACGTGTTAACAGTTAAAAGAATGTCAGGAACCACAGTGACACCAGGATAACAGAAGAAAAAAATCATTTTTTTCCCGTGACAAAGCATGCAATCATCAAATCTTGATAATAGATATCTGGGACAGCAACAGCACCACCATAGCACCAGTGTCGCTCCAAATAAAAATCATCCGATACCCTTCATATTAATAAATATTTTCTGAATGGTATGTAATACCTCCAACATCTTTGTAATGTCTCGATGAGTCAGCGAATCCCTACCTTTGTATAAGATATATTTTCCATTATTTGAAATTTTCGATAGAAATTGTATATAATCGAACCACTATTATGAAATCATTGGAACAATCAGGAAGACTAAATCTTTGTCATTTTACGTAAAATACATTTATTTGTTTGAAGTACCTACGGATTCCCCGGTGTTACGTTTCCCTCGTAACAAATTCGAGTTCCGTGAACGGATGACATGCGCACTTCGCTCTAGCCATCGATTTTCATTGTCCGATACCGCGCAATTATCAGCCTGAACGAACGAACGAACAGTTTCTCTTTTTTAACTTCCCCTTTGCTACCTCCCACTATACTCGAGATTGTCGAGAAATAATAACAGAGGCTGAATGCACCAGCACTCGTTCATGGCGCCCCATTATGCCAAGAGGCGCGCCAAGGGGGCTTGGCATTTTTTGCTGGTCAACCGAAGGATCAGGAAAGACCGCCTTCATCTTCCGTCATTCGCTCTTTTTTCACTTGACTGGTGTCTCGATCAACGCCATCATTGTCTTGCAGTTGTCCTGAGTTTGCAACGAAGCACTCTTGTCGCCATTCGAAAGACACAATGCATCTCCAGTTACCAGGAGCGCATTTTGATCAAAGAGCTTGCAGGTCCACATGTCAAGCATGTATCGTTTTGTGTCAACTTCCTTTTTCTCCCACTTTGACTGGCTGACGTTTCGATATATCGAACCTATTGATGCGGGACGCTATCTGGTGAACAGCTTGGTAAATTGTATCGATGCACGAACTATAGGAGAAAGCGCTGCGGTCGGCAAGAGCAACGGTTGATATTGGTATTTACTTATGCCTACATATATCTATGTGTTTTTTCTTCGCGCATAATGACAAATTCCATCATCGAAGTGATAAAAATGACCCATTAACAAATGTTTTAAAAAAAGCAAAAATGCATGCGAAATATTTCAAGTTAGAATTTTAAAGTAAAAGTGTATGGCTATCTGAGCAATAATAGTAATAATAATATTTTATTCTCTAATTCAAAGGTGCATTGCTTTCTTCAGATTTTATTATTGTATTTCGTAATGTCAATCACTAATTCTTTCGGAACATTTTTAAAGAAAACAGCGCACAGCAATTGTTCAGAGAACTACTATCCTGATCCTGCAAGGACGAAGTGTCACGTGGTTTCCAGTGAAGGAGACGATACTAAATACTTACTTTTAACACGAATCTGATTATGTGATTGATGATTATGTGCTTGTTATCTGGTTATGAGCATTCGACATTCGGTTGTAATACATGGTTGAATTTCATTCGATTAAGTAACTATATATGTATATTTTTAGATTACGAATAGAAAATAAAATAATTTTCAAGCGAGAACATGCGACGTGCTTCGAGTATGCAATATGCAAGTGAAACAAGTCGAGCCAAATCAGACGCCTTTTCACGATGGCTTCGGACAACATGCTGTAGCAGCATCCACCTCTCTGGATCAACGCGGGTAAACGAAATAAATAAACGTAACATGCTGATACGTTCCTGATAGCGTCGAAACGCGATGAGATATCGTAAACGTAGGAAGATGACAGAAAATCGATAAACTACCTTCAGACATGGTTCACGTTCCCCACAATTCTTTGCCGCTTTCTTTTATGCTTGGGCAAACACTGTCAGTGATGGTGGCCTGATATTTTTCAGACGTTAGGTGCCTTAATATTGTCTTCGTTTGTTCCGATGCTACGCGTCAAAAAAATATCGAGTCGCAAGTTTCAACAACATGTATTGGTGAATCGATACTATTTTAAGTTTAGATACTATCCTGTTACTTTGACACGTCGTAGTCGTCATGTCTCGCGAAATTTGACGTAAAATCGATAGACCCACTCTGACCATGCTTCTTCGTTTATTCGTATATGTATATCGTAAAATTGTTATAAATTCTTATAAACATCTTGATTTAAGCAGAAGACAGAAATTATTATTGGAACTGTGCTTTGAAGGTAATTTATTGGATAAAGATAGCTAAGTAAATTTTTAAAATTACCGTGAGTTATAATTTTCTACATGATTAATTTTCTAATAAAATTGAAAACTAATTGTTGTTAAAAATAAACAAATACGCAACGTTAGATAATGCATAATTTATTTAATATGTTTTATTAGGTGAAGGGAAAATAATATATTCCAGAGGAATTCTAATTGCAAGCAGTAACGCTTGCGTGCCTTGGTATCGATTTACCGTCAGTTTCATGTCATAAAGACGTCAAACACACGATTTTCATCAGGACAACATCTATGGCTCGAATTTACGGTCAACTCCGAGCAACAGGTCTCGAGTGGTTGAATTATCCCGCGTAAGTACAAAATCTAGTTTCCCTCCATTTTTGCAACGATAACTGTACCGGTCAGTTGTTCTTATTTATACGGTGAAGTTAGTGGGTTTCTGTAATTTGCATTATTATAAATTATCAATATTTGAATAATGCATATGTATAAAAATAAAAAATTGTTTTAACAACATATATTTTTTACTAGACAAACACGTGTACATAAACGATTCGTGCAAGAGGAACACGAAGTCTGGTTTCATCGATCTCCAGAACTAAAACACGCCCCTTTGTACTCACTCCTAGATGAGACATACCCCCTGGCAATAACCTGTTGCGTTTGGTCGTAAATCTACCCCGAGGCTGTAATCCTGGTAGGCTTGTCTCGGAATGACGTCATTGACGATCTTTTGATGGACAAGTGACATCCGTTCACGTTTCTCCAGGGAACCCTTTTATCGAGACGAATCATCGAGACACGCGACTTTTTCCTGAGAAAAGTTTCCTTATTTTTCAAATATCTGTGGTGGAGTATAGCACCAACACACGAAGAGCAGGGTCGGTGAGAGAACCATAAATTCATCTACTACCCGTCGTTGCTACCCTAGTAACTACGAACTTTCGTGACGTTACGCGATGTTAGATGACGAACCGTTCGACATGTCGACAGCTCTCGTCTACTTGATGTCCTTAAGGGACGTGACCAACAGATTCTATTGAATAAAGAAAAAGCTAAGACCAGAAACGCGACGTATCGATCCGTCGACGTTGACGTCAACGTGGCGGGAAAGCCATAAATCCCTCAAACGTCTGCTGGTCCCCTGATGCTAGGAAGCTACTTGTGCTACCGTGACAAACGGATGACTGACACTTCCCTTCCTTTAAACTCCACGTCTTTCCAATTAAAGTTAAAGATACGTTCTCAACGATATAAAGTGGTATGGTAGAAATCACGAATTAGTTAACAATTCAAAACCGTAACTAAATGGGTAATTATCTGTTTGAATTACTTATGTGCAATTAAATGTAATATTAAACAATTGACAAAGATTATTATGTATAATTAGAATAGTAAACATTCTGTTAGTATGAAGAGCTCCTACGTTCAATTTATTCTATACATATACATTGTGTAAAGAAGGAAGTTGAGAAAGGTGTATGAGATAAGAGGGAAGAAGAAATGACACAATGCAATGTTTGCAACTTGACTATCCGAGCCCTCGTATGCGGCCCTGATACGTTGGCGTCCTTACGACGTAACATGATGAACAGATGACGCTAAATCAATATACGTCGTCGTCGAGCAATTGTTAAACGTCGTTCGACCGAGGCTCCCGACTAAGAAGCTTTTACTTCCTACGCAACGAGCGATAAACATCTCTAGTGACGTATACGTGTAAATTGCATACATTTAATCATGATAGACTATTTTAATTTTTAGAGTATAAAACCGGAAACTTTGGATTGAAGTTGAACTAAATGTGAATTTAAATACAGAATTACAACTTCTTTATACAATACTAATGTAAGCACACCCTCCCTCCGAGGAAAAAGCATTACCTACGTACTATCCTAGAAGAGAAAATTGAATTTGGCTTCTTCCTCTCCTAGAAGAAACAAAATTAAGGTACAATTGTATTAACTAATAATTAATACAGTAATAATTTTTCACTATTTTTACGTAAAGCTGACTTGATAAATATATATTATTTCATAGATTCCTTTTGCCAAACAAATGTTAATAGCTTTAATACTCTGAAACGTTCGAATACGATAAAAAGATATTTGGAAGAATATAAGCGGCTACAAGAAGATCGTGTCTAGCATGCCTTGCGAGCTTCCAGGAACAGGCTAACATCCACAATCGAAGGATTCAGTGATCCTGGAATGCACCAAAATCTTATTGCGCCCCGTTGCCACAGTGATCGATGATGTTTGGGTTGAATCGGAGGAAAAGGAAGTGGATAGACGCAGATGAACGTGGAGACGATCGAATGACGAGAGGCCGAGTACAATTTTAAACGAGTCAATAACATCAAAAGCTTCGTATACGCGGGTCACATCATCATGTGGAGCTTCATTTTACCATAAACTCTACGACGTAGATCGTAATCGTTGTTAAAACTGTCACGTTTAACTAGCAAGTCACAATGTCGTAGAAAAAAATTATCTGCGGGTAAAACTTCTATAACACGATACTAATTTTCAGTGAAATATGTAAGAGATCGAGATGCAGTAGGCACAGTTTATAACAATCAGACAAATTTTACTAGTCTTTACACCGCGTTATAATAGAGGCTATTCAGCATCTTTCTACTACATGTATAATCATGAAATATTATCAGTGAAACAACGTCCGATATATTTGTATTGTCAAATATTGTCAATGAGACCATCGATACCTTTGTGTCCCCTTTATCCTCCACAAAAATGTATAATAATAAACTACATATAAGCCCAGCACAACCTTCGATAAAGCAGTATGTATAATTCTTTGCAATTCTAGCGCAATCAAGTCTCTAAGGAAATTCGTTCGGTAGCCGCTCACAATCACCACGTTACATTCTCCGTAACAGGTGACTGCGTCGACGCTTGGCGTATTTCTCGAACCAGGGGTGCACGTTAAACGTAGGGGTTGCTACCCACTTCTCGTGCAATATGGTGACTCGAATGACGTAACAAAGCGCGCGTTTTACTAGGAGAACATTCTTTAATGAAGGATACAACTACCCCTAACGATCCTTGCTAGCAACCAACCAACCATCTTACAAAACCTAACCTTTACGACATTCCTACGTAAGTCGTGACAAACGACAATATCTTTGCAACTAACAATTTCATTCTACAGTATACGTCAGTGATTTATTACTCTGTGTTAAAATATTCAAACTTTACGCATCAATAAAATTAACGGGACAAACATTATATAAATACTACGTTACGTTCGTTTAAATTTATTGAGCGATTTCAGAAACTGACCTAGCGAACAAGCTTAACCTTTGCGACGTCACGCTGCCTAACATTTCTATCCGGGAATTATAGGGTGCCAGTTAGTTTTGTGCATAATACGCTGGTTTAAACGAGGGTGGCAATATTGACACGCTTTTCGAACTGGACAATGTCCCAAGAACAGGAGTTAATACACAGGAGTACGTGATCAAAGTAACGGCATCGATAAAGATTAGTCAAATATATATGTATACATAAGTATAAAACGATGCGGTTATCATTGATTAATTTTATTAACAGCGCCAAATTTACTAGTTACGCTAATGTATATTATTCTGAGGTTATTAGATAAGGATAAGTTAGAGCGAGCAAAATTTTTTTATTAACAGAAAAATGTATAATTAAATAATAAAAGTTTGTAATTTTACCGGGTGGAAACCTTTCTCCAACTACTGTTTCAATCCATTGCTGAGCTTCAGCTTCTTGACTTGGTTCCCTTTTGCCAGCAACCTGTAATTAAAATATTAAACAAACTATTATAAGTACTCTTAACACAGATTTTTTACTTGTTATATACCACTTATGTCTTTTGCCTATAATGTGGCACTCTATCTGAAAATACTTAAAGTGTATTGTGCAGACAACAGATTATATTGTATTCATTGCAGAAGTCATTGCAGATGTTTAAAAATGTCATATGAGAACCACTGACATAAAAATAAGATGCATTCAAACCTCCCAGCAATCTAGAAGAATTTTATTTTTGACAAACAGATTATCAGTTTCCGCAGAAACTTTCAAAAATTGCCGTAGCCGATGGTATTTCACATCGTCATGGCGGGGTATTGGTAAAAGTTTTCAACTAGCAATAATCGCGCCTCGGTAGAACCTCATTGGTTACGATATCGCCACTGCGCAAAGCTGACGACACAACGTTTCGCTGTCCTACTAATAACACCGTCGTTACCTTTTTGACTGTGAGAATCTTCTTGCCTCAAATGCCATCTAGCGGCAGGTTGGAAAATTAAACGTATCGAGTACTCTTGCATGGAGACGTACGTGATGTATAGAACTTTTTTTATCTGTGGATGTACATATACACCCGTGGTATCATAAACGCATTAATGATTTATTTAAATTTAATTAATTAAATTAAAAATTTTATAAACAATATTTTACAGACAAACTGATAAAGCATCTCTATTATATATTATTTTTACTAAGAAATTACTGCATACATCATCTACTAACTACAAATAGTGTATTAGTAAGTAACAGCAAGCACATACATTAAGAATTTACTGAAAATATATTGTCACAGGAAAACAAGAAAGTAAGAGGTAGGACGGCTAAGTATGCTTCTAAAGATGTTTAGCAAGGAAGTTTTACACCGTTCTTTCCTCCTTCATATCTAGATGTATGTTTCTTCCACTTGTTGCTTTTAAGTTTTATAATATATGAAATTATTAAACTTGTATATAAAGTAAGCATTCTATTTTTCAACATTAGACATAGAATTAGTTGGAAGTTAAACCGAAAGAAAAACAAAATGATACAGTGATCTTGAGGAATTTCTCAATGGAAGTGTTGAAATCATTAGAAAAGAAAAAAACATCATGTCGAAAAAACAAAATTAAGAAAACATTGTGGGTGTTACGGATTTAATGTCGATTATAGAAATGTACAATTCGTTCCAGGTGTCTACGATGTTCCATTATATTACGATAAACTGAGAAACGGCGTCGATTGACGGAATCTAAACTCGGCGGTGGCCTCACCCTTCGAAGTGGCCAGAGTCCAGGAATTACAACGCCTTTGCTTATCGGCATCTTTCATCTGGCGTTCGTCCACAGTTAACTATCGTTTTGTGCACAACACACCCACTTGTTCGAACTTTTCCATTTTGTCGTCAACCACAGATTACTCTCGTCTACACGCGACGTCAGCGTTAACAATAAACGACAACTACTCATAAACATCGATACGTCTTTTCTAAATAACTGGGTCAAATCACAGCCTATTTCTGTACCGTGTCTGAGACGAAAACATCGGAATAGATCATCGAACGATTCCATCTTGAGACACTACTGTCATTTTTGGCAATTTCAATTAAATTTTACACTGAAAAACATTTCGAATTACCAGATAGAAATTTAAAACAAATAGAAAAATGTAGAGAACCGACATAAATGTACAGAATCTAACATACATTTCGTATTTGTTTAATTTAATTTAATTTAATTTAATTTAATTTATTTAATTTTAATTTAGCATTTGTTCAAAATATGTACAGACATTGTAAAGGCATTCTGGACAACAGTGGAAGCTATGTCTAGAAAGAAGATTTATTATACTTCGAAATGATCATGGCAATTATTATAAACCTTTATATAAATCTCGCATATGAATTCTATGACAGATTCTTCTATGTATGTTAGAAGTAGGCTTCTCGCATAGTCTTGCAAATAGGGCTGCAGTGTCAAGATCTGGTTACGGGCGGGGGTGTGGGAATACCCAATGGGCAATTCGCCAAAAAATACACGTTCCTGAATGTCGGCGGAAAGGATACGGCGGAGGGGAGACCGGCATATAGCGTCGGGACGCACGGCGTTCGACTTAGTCTCTGGTCAGCGTCATCGTTCAAAAGTCGTTCTATCTCGAGAAAATACGTCTTGTGGCAAAGCGATCGTCGACAAAAAAAGGAGAGAGGAAAAACATGCCGGTACGTCATCATTATCCGTGATGAACTCTCGATGTCCTCTGTCGGATACGCGTTCGTTCGCGACGAGAATTAGTGCTTAAAACGGACCGTAATCGGGTTACGATGCCATAGTCAAACAGTGGAATTAAATCAAGACTGCCGGTACATTGATGATTTCTCGTTGAAAAGCGACCACACACGATCGCGGTTATTCGTAGAATCCTAATTACGGTAGACCTTGAGCTATTTCGTTTTGGCTATTTTCCCAAAATACTGGATTACTTCTTGACACGCGGAAGAAACGTGTGATGGAGAGAAATGAAATTGGAAGATATTGTGATAAACTCGCGAGGATTTTATCTGTATCAACAAACTTGCGGTTTGTTGCCACCAGAGAAATCGTGTACTTTTCAAACGGACTTGAAGTGGTCGCTTTCGACGCGAATCTCCCCTTCGACTCGTTCAAAGTACATATTTACATCCGAAAAAAATATTCTTACAAAATAGATGATCTTATCGCATCTTTGAACGGAACTTACAAAATCGGTTTGAATACCGATAGGAATAACCTCTTGCAGACTTACTTTACCTTTGCGTCTAATAATAAGCTACCGTGGACCAATACACCACAATTTTGGAACATAAAACTATAGGTGTAATAGTTACACTTATTTTTCTTTTTGTATATAAAAAATTAAATACACTCGATCCTTCAGTTTCACCAATTAACTATTTAGTCACTCCAATGGAAATACTTAGATGTAAAATTAACATTTTAACAATGAACTATTCACAGGCGACAAAATACTGAATGAAAAATATCAGGTGAAGGAATGTCATTCACGTGTACAAGATTTAAATTCGCATCTTCAATGCAGATGTTCAATTTGATCAAATGCCAAAACACTGGAGCAAAAACAGAAAAGGACTCGGTCAATTTAATTTTAAATTTAGTGAATCGCCTGTACAGTCGTGTCACGTTCACCAAACATCCACGAAAGATGAATTTGATCTTTCTCGAGGATGAATCTTAAAATATACCTCGAGAGAGTTCGACGGAGAACACGTTGCTTCTGAAGACTTAACATTTTACAGATAACAGAATTCTCTCTTCGAGACGATTGAATTTGTCGTTTGGTGTAGTTCATGACGTATGCAGACTGATTTACCTGCTATAAATATTGAATTTGTCGAGCACAGAAAGGTGCCAAAACGTTTAGTTTACGTCAGTCGACTGTTTGTAATATATTATAAATGAACGCGTTAAAGCACTTTATAGAGGACTTTACAGAAATCGGTAAAACTTTAGGATTCACACGGCACAGAAACAGGTGGCTAACGTAGAGAGAACTGTACATTGTTGCTTGCTGCCAGTTTTAATAAAAGCCAAATCGTTCGATGTATTTTATTTTCGACGTCCGCTTTATGCCCGGTAACGTAACACCGTCGCGGTCTATTTTCGTTTTCGACACTTTTAAATTGCCCCGCAACACACTTCGCTGGACCATCTCAGATCCGTGAAACGATAGGTCGAAGCTTTCATCGACGAATGCTTGATTCTAATTCTGGAAGCGTGCGATAATGAACGAAGCAAACTTCCGGTTCTCAGGCTCGTAACAAGGAACAGGAGGCTGAGGTGTTGGCTTGGATCGAGGCTGTCCTAGGAGAAAAGCTACCGCCAGGAAATTACGAAGATATCCTCAAGGATGGCGTTATCCTCTGCAAACTTATCAACAAACTAGCTCCGGGATCAGTGAAGAAGATTCAAGCCAAGGGGACCAACTTTCAGCTTATGGAAAATGTTCAGAGGTATGTAAATGAAGATCTGTCATCGGTTTGTGACCAATTTAGAAATTTCAGAACTTTTCGTTTTAAGCAAACAGTCATTCCGTACAGAGTTGTACAATTATCTACTATATGTATATATAATGAATTAATATGAATTATTTTCAGATTCCAAGCTGCTATCAAGGAGTACGGTGTCCCGCAAGAAGAAATCTTCCAAACAGCTGATCTCTTCGAAAGACGCAACATCCCACAAGTAACATTATGCTTGTACGCTCTTGGTAGGATCGTAAGTATACCATAATTAAATCTTTAATTTTTCTGAAACTTTGAAAAATCTGGAACACTTATAAATCGCACTATTCTTTTGGTATAGACGCAAAAGCATCCTGAATACACTGGGCCACGTCTAGGACCGAAGATGTCCGAAGAAAATAAGAGATCATTCACCGAAGAACAGCTCCGAGCAAGCGAAGGACACCTCAATTTACAAATGGGTTACAACAAAGGAGCTAGTCAATCTGGTCATGGTGGATTCGGCAACACTCGACACATGTAAAAGATCGTATATTCGACGCGTAGAAAAACGCATTCTCAACAATTCGTATAGTTATGAATACTGTTTTATTATTTACTAACGATCTCCAGACGCGTGAACAATTCGGGATATTCTAGTTGAGAGTATGTAACGATAAATTTAGTATTTTTTAAATGAATATCTACGAAGATGTACCAAATGATGTATTTTGTGATAGGAAAACGGCTACTATTTTTACATACATCCAGTATACGTTATCATAAAAGCGAGATCTTATTTAGCAAGAAACGTTAGTTGATACATTACACACTACACTCTATTTATACACTAAATACAATATACATCGATACGACGTACCTAACAAATACACGATACATTCACACATATTTACACTTGTACATGGAACACATTCTACATATATGTATACACCAAACATTAACATACAACTCGATGGGCACCTTGCACGAGTATTTATTTGTCTCTTATAAAAACGAATTTCACGAGCAATAAATAAGATCTCAGCAATTGCATTAACGTAAGTGTAAGATCTTATCAAAGGTTTTGTATTAACATGTTGACTGCGATCGCGGTCATCGGTGACTGTCGCCTCAAATATAATATAATTAAATAATTAAAAGAGAACAATTTTAATAGTATTACTATTATACTGATAATATGAAGTAGAAAATTAAGTGCTCCAGTTTGAAAATTAACTACATGCATCTTTAATAATTGTATCTCTAACGTGCCTTAACACAAGTATTATTCGTTTTCATTACGACGGTCAATGTGTTCAATCATAAATGATGTTAATTAAAATGAATAGTGTAAAAATTTTTTTAATATTTGTAACTGTTCGCTAATTATTTGCTAATAACATGTAAACGACAAAAGGAATAAAAAAGACCTCGCTGCTATTTTCTATTATCCGAATTATTCTAAATTGACACGGTGCTTGATTTAAATTAAAAAATGATACCAATGTTTTCTTTTCGCCGTTAAAAAACAGATACAATAGAAGGTTTTACGAAAATTGGAAAGTACTTCGTTGCAAGTTATGTTAAATTTTTGGCACATTATCCTGCTCAACTAATGTAACAATGATGAGTCTATCTTTAAAATATTGCATATTGTGTTGAGTGACTTGCAAAACGAATGAAATTAAGATGCTGACGGTAACGCGATATTGAAAACATGTATAACATTTCAAAAGTGAGCTATTTTAGAACTTGAATTTATTCTTAAACATGTACATATAGATCTAGCCGCGTTCAACTTTCGAACTTTGCAAAAATTAATTAGATCAAGATATAGTCGAAATATGAAATTTTGCAACAGTCTAAACAGCGCAGTCCCAAGTTTCAGTTAATTAGAAAAATATCATTCAAATTTCCTCGATAGAATAAATTCTAAAATTTTGAGAACCTTGACTTGGCTACTTCTGAATTTCTCTCGTTAACTTCAAGAACCTCGAGCGTACTCTGAGATTGGAAGAGTTAATTTGGTCGCAACAGTCATGAAAATACCAAGCGACTTGTTTGTAAATAAACCTTGCACCGCGACTCGTGTCGTCATCGCGACACAAATTTTTCTGTTTCATTTTCGCCATCCCTTTAGCGAGAGAACAAACAATTTGCTTCGAATCTTGTTTAGCTTGGCGCCTTTCTGTGTAATCCGGGTTATATTTAGGTGTTCACGGGGTACGAGACATTAAAAAATGCAGAACATTGCATTATGGTATCGCAGTAAGTATCCAAATTCATCGTATTATTCTAAGGTTCCTTACTTCAACTATGGCGTTTCTAAATTTGCATGATGAAAACGCGAAAAGATACTATGAACAGAATGTATCCAGAAAGTTTATAACACTTGTTTAAAAACGGAATGACCTTCATGGAAACAATTCGATTTCCTGTGATTTCGCTACGTTTAAATCAAATGTAGGCTATAGTGCATCGAGATGACTCATGGTTTATACGCATTTCAAAATTAGAAACACTCAAATGAAAACTCGTAAGAATATTGCAGATACGTATGCTGAGTCAAAAAGTTGGAAATAGATAACTTTTCGGTGTACCGGGAGGAAAAAGTTTTTATTTCTTGAATATCCTGCATTTTTTCAGCTATAGAGTTATCGATTTTTTAGTAACAAAAAAGCACGTGTACACGAGTTTGCACGTATTTACAGAAAGCAGTCTGAAAAATATTTAACAAATATAACAGCACAATGATCAGAATTTTATTGCTAATAATATAGCATAACAATTTCAATTTGGCATTCTGGTTATATTCTGATTAGACTCTTCTGGTTATACTGGTTATGGCGCGAATAAGCACAAATCACAGTCACACACATGAAAATGATGAAAATTTCTCCAGCACGACTTACCTGCCACAGTGGACGTCCAGGCATGATGAATACGATAAGTAAATAGGTGTTCTTTCGCGATTGACAATACGCTGAAGGCGTGAAATTGGTAGAGCTTATCTCAACTCAAGCACAAAAAGTGTGCGCTTCGGACCTCGTGCTGCGTATATATGCGTGACAGGTGTGTGCTCGTGTTGGTAAACGTGGGGGCGCTTCTATATATGGATCACTTACTCACCAACCAACCCTGATTTACGTGCACCTCCGCCGGTATCGTTTGGAAAGCGTTAAAGAATCACGTGAACGCAATATTTCCACTAACTGGAAATAGCGTGAACTGTTTTAACATATTCCTTTAAAACAGAAACTTCACTACAGACTTTGAATTTTTAGAAAAATTGAAGCTTTGAAACTTCGCGACATTGATAGTTTGGAACTCTTAAACTTTAAATCATTGTAATCGTGAAAGTTCAAAACTTTGACAAACTTTTACAGCTTGAGATATTGTGGTATTAAAATTTTTTAACTTTAACATTATCACTAAGTAATACCTTTCTAATGTTAACGACAGTGGATCTAAAATGAAAATGTTGAAGCTATAAAAAGTTGGAACGAAAACAAATGTAAATATTATATAGGGTAAAGAGCAGCTAAAAATTACTATTTAATGGATGTAAAATATAAAAATTTTGCAAATAAACCTATATACAATATTTATACAGTAAACTACTAATGTATAGCCGTGATCTTACGAAAAAAACAGGGTTGTACTTAATGCATGTAGTTAATCGGTATACGTAATGTTTCTATGAAACGTAATTTCAACGGTAGCGTGGCCGAGCGGTCTAAGGCGCTGGTTTAAGGCACCAGTCTCTTCGGAGGCGTGGGTTCGAATCCCACCGCTGCCAAGTGAATTTTTTGTTAAAATTTTTATATTGTAAATCACTACTTTGTAATGAATTATTAACCGTGATTAATAACAGAATATAAAATACTTGTAACATACTTTATTTGCAAGATAGTGTCTATAATGTAATACAAAGCTTGAGAGAGTTTTTACCATATGTTTGATTTAGTCAATAATTAATATATAATGTCGGAAGTGTTTTGAAATCTTCATTATTAGATATTGTTCTTAAATTTAAATTTAGACGAGCGCGATTTTTGTAAAAGAATGCTTGGCATCATCTGGCGATGAACAGAGATACTAGCACAGAAGAAAATTACGTTTTTCTTAAAAGCTATGAACTATTACACTTTTCTCTGTTTGATGAATTGTTGTATAATCTTAAAGAAACTGAAATAATGTCATTATAATTCTAAATATTGTTAGAAACAAAAATGAAAACTATTGCACATGGATCTAGTTTCACATATGTTTCTTTTGTTTAAAAAGATCTTATTTGCAAATTAATAATGATTAGGTAAAGTCAAAACATTCCGAAGTTAGTTAGTTTTGCACTCCAATGTAATTTGATGCATATTATAATAAATTAAGCCAATAAAATAAATATTAATTGAGTACTCAAGAAAATGGAACAAGGGGCGCCATCTCTCCGGCGAACAGGGTGAACTACACACTTTTGAAACTCTACTTTAATTAGTTCTCATCTTCTACCGCTAGATGGCAGTTATTTTTTAATTTTTGTATTGATTCATAATGATAAGATAAAATGAACGAGTTCCTAGATTGTACTCCTCATAACCTTTACGTTTCGCTGATGCAAGAAGAAACACTATAAGCGTGCTGATTTCTTCGAATGTCCAATAGGTTGCGTCGGCACGCGGCGCCGTGGTTCACACTTATTAGGAGAACATGTTACGACTGAAATTTCAATTCGACTGATCCTCGTTGTGAATTTAATTGTGTATTAAGCAATGCTATGTATAATGCGTGCACAAAATCCTACTTTTGATCATAAATGAAAGTCTATTGTTTATCATGATATATCAATTTTATTGAAATATTGTTATAAGACCTTAAAATTGTGTAGATTTACTGAAGACAGTACGGTATAGCAAAGAAAAATTATATTAGATCATAAAATAAATCAATTTGACCAGACAGCAAATATTGCGACCATAATCATTTTCATCGGGTAATTTATATTCAAGAACACTTTCAGTATCTCGTATTTTTTCGAAATAATTTATTCTTATAAGGAGTATAAACCTGTGTTTCTTTATTTAAAACCTTTATTCTGAATATTCACGGAGTTCGTTCATTGGATTTCCCCGTAACAATCGCATTTCCTGCAAATTTTAAGTGCGGTGTGTGCTCACATCCCGCACACAAGACGCGAAACATTAGGGTAACATGAACGAATAATCTTTCTCCTCGCTTGACAGTTGAGCGACATTCGCGCGGGTTGTCTCATTTAGCCCCTCCTTGGAGCAGGATACCATGTTCATCGAAAAAGCTACGAGAGAATAACCTGAATTTATGCTAGTGTAATATTCATTGCAGCAACTTAATACATCCAAAGGTTTCAAGTATTTCATGTATGTTTGCTGCTATTATTTACACATTTCTAAAGTTGTTGATTACTTATTACTTAGCACTAAAATGATCGTCGTTATATCGTATCGTAATTGTCGATATCTCTAAAAATTATTTTTGGCGATTCGAAAGAAAATTTTTGAAATAAAAAAATTTGATAAATAAATAATTGAAAAATTATTAATTACAATAAAATATATCATGACATATTAATTAACAATTGTTTTGTAACATATCTATCAGAAGAAGTTAAAAAAATAATAAATTTAAACAGTTACAGCACTAATTTTATAAATAAATAATCGAAAAATTAATAATTACGATAAAATATATCGTGATACATTAATTAACAATCATTTTGCAAAATATCTGCAAGGAAAAGTTAAAAAAAATAATAAATTTAAACAGTTACAGCAATAATTTTATAAATAAATAATCGAAAAATTAATAATTACGATAAAATATATCGTGATACATTAATTAACAATCATTTTGCAAAATATCTGCAAGGAAAAGTTAAAAAAAATAATAAATTTTAATAGTTACAAACAATAAATTAGTTAATAAACAATTATAAAGTTAAAAATTGTTAAAAAATTATTCAATTATTACGCGAATAAACTTCGAGTCGAGGTAGCACGGTATTGGTGCATTATATGACACCTGATTGGATACTGAATCACCAATTATCGTGACCGGTTTGTACCCGCAAGAGGTCACATCTAATCAGTTTTGTCGCGACTGCCAAGGAGTTCGGATCAACCCTGTCATCACTTACCGGTACGAGTCAAGTTTTCAGTAATCGGATTAAGTGTTCATCTCTGTGTTACCTAGTGTACTAATACAAGTGTCTAGTGTGTTTTATCAAGTGTTTTTTAATAAATACGGGGGTGTATTAACACGATTTATGGTGTGGTTTTTCATGTGTCAAAGTGCTTACTGAGATGTTTTAATTTATAATTGTGCATGTGTATACGAATACCTTAGTGTGTTTTATAATGTTATACAAGTGTTTTATAATTATTTTTTAAATATATTGCTGGGTTTTACGGTGTTATTACTTACGTGTTTTTACAAATTTTTGTGAACGTTTAGTGAGTTTTATGGTGTGGTTACCTACATGTTTAGACACGCTTGTGCAAGTGCTTTAGTGTAATTTATGGTGTAGTTGTACAAGTGTTTTACCGTTATTTTTTAAATACTTTACTGGCTTTTATGGTGTTATTACTTACGTATTTTTACAAATTTTTGTGAACGTTTTAATTTATAATTGTGCATGTGTATACGAATATATTAGTGTGTTTTACCGTTACTTTTCAAATATTTTTCTGGTTTAGACATGCTTGTGCAAGTGCTTTAGTGTAACGTATAGCGTAGTTGTACAAGTGTTTTACCATTATTTTTCAAATAATTTACTGGGTTTGGTAGTGTTATTACCTACGTACTTTTGCAAATTTTTTAAATGTTTTAATTCATAATTGTGCATGTGTATACGAATATATTAGCGTGTTTTATAATGATGTACAAGTGTTTTACCGTTATTTTTCAAATGATTTACTGGGTTTTGCGGTGTGGTTACCTACGTGTTCCGTTATATTTTTGCAAACGTTTTAACATGTTCTCTAAGTAATTACCCCAGTCTTTTAACATATATTTTCAAATGTTTTACAATATTTCACGATGTTACTATTGATAAACGTTTGCAAATTTATAATGGAATTCTGTAATATAGTTATTGTACTTCTGCATGTTAATCAAAATGCAAATCGATAAACACAGTTAATTAACCGTTGTGATTCTTTTATGATTACAGAAGGCCACACCAACTTCACGGACAAACTGCCAAATCCAAATCTGACGAAAGCAGCCAATCAATCAATCGATCGATCGATCAAGCAGCCACGCAGTCAATCAACCAAGCAGCCAGTCAATCAGATGAGCCACCTCCCAGATGCTTTATCGATAAAACGATCGCAGTGATGCAAGTCAGCGATCGGTGAGTCGCATGCTTTACGATTCCTCCGGTTCCCATCATGTCGTAGGACGAATGGTCCGAAGCGACACGGGAACTGGTTGTATTTTTATATTTGAGCGAGCATAGTGACCACGACTGTACGATCGTGCAAAATTCGTACAAACTGTTTATTATATTTATTAGATCAGGTCAGGGTTTTCTTGTACATCGCGTTTTAACTTCTTTTCAATTTAAAATTAAAATTAGTACATAGAAGTCGGATGACCCTCCGATTTCACAGTAGTTGTCGAGTCACTTTTATAAAGTTATAGAGTCATTTTCAATTTTTACGTACTCGTGAAAATTTTTTAAATGAATATGTACAAGAAAGTATCGCGAGAAACAGATTTCGATATCAAAGTTATTTGTGAATGTTTGAGTCATTTAGAAATTTACTTTGATATCATAAATCTGTTAAGAATGAAACTACCGATATACTTAGATTTTTGCAAAGTGATCTTCCATTTTCCATTTTGAAAGTTTTTTAAAGTTAGAGTCAA